CCGGAGAGGTCCCTATCGGAACGTAAATGTCTTGGTCCTATACGGAGTTGAGGCGACGTACAGCGACTGCAGACCCGGCGGCAACTTTGGGTTTTGAATCGCCGAGATGCGGTTCCCACGCAGACTCCTATCCAGCGATTGAGCGGTTTGTCAGTCTTCAAAAGACATCTGTGTCGTACAGCGCCGTAAGGTTGGGAAAGCGCGTGAGCTGTGTGCTCAAGGTTGATGCGTCGGAAATGTTGTTGTAGCTCAGATCCCTAATAGTGGTCATGAGGCACGATTCCAGGACTTTGAGCCACATACAGCGTCCGTAGCGTTGGCAGACTCGAGATGGCGTCCAGAGACAAAATGCGGTTGTAGCTCAAGTTCCTATCGGAGCGCACCATGAGCGCCACGGCATGCCTGCAGATATGCATCAACAACGTACATCGTTTGAACGACGGCCGCCGGGCTAGCGCCAACCGACGTGATTTCGTTCATGATGAGATTGCTACGCAGCGGCGTAAGCAGGTCAGTCAATATCCACGGTCGTACATGCTGGTGGCCGTCGCTGGGAGCGACTGCACGACGTCAATGCCGGCGCCCTGCACGTCAAAGCGCAGACTGGTATCGACAGCATACGTTGCCTCGACGCTGCCGTTGCCGCCAAGGACACAAGGCGACGTGCTTGCGGGGTTGGGTACCGGACACGATCCGTAGAGCGTGCTGAGGCCATGGGCGCTGGCCGCGAGCGCGATGAGAAGGAGACGATGCGTCATCAGGTGGCCGCAAATTGATGAATGCACCTGGCCTGTCCGAACCAGGTCGGCTGCGATTGGCTGCTACAAACGGCAATCTCAACAAGTAGCCAATCCGGTGCAGTCGCTTGCACGGGAAGATCGGTGAAGTCGAGAAACTGGTCCGCGTTGGACACACTACCGATGGTGTCGGACAGACATGCGTCAAAGGACTCGAAAGAGCAGTAGACACGCATCGTTTATGGTGTCGATTCATGTACGTCCCGCGAGCTTTGAACGGCGCCAACGTTGTTAGCAAATCAAATGATATCGAATTCGATTGTTTCGCGAAGTTGGACAACATCCATGGCGGATGACGAAGAAGCAGCGTAGGTCGGTGACCGTTGTCGGGGGAAAAGACCCAGGCATCGCGAAACGTCGCTGGCATGGTCATTTTTCAAACTTTTGAAACAGCAGATGCCAAATAAGATCGGATATGGGTATCATCGTATCATGTCAACAACGTGTTCCCAGGCGGCTGACTCCCACTCGCCGCATACCGCCTATCGCATGGGCAACCCTTAATAGTGCACTGCACGTGAGCTACGGCATGTAGGCGATGTGGCGGGTGTAGCTAGTGCAGCAAACTTGGTTGTGGGCGCTTCCGCCATATCTTTACCCTCTACGTATCTTTTTTACCTTATATGCATTGTCGGTCGAGAACAAGCCTGGGATCAACAACATCCCCTTGTACCGCATGGTCGTTCCTACTGCTTTTACCCACAGAGCACTCTTCTTCACACTCAAACCACCCGACATTTCGCGTCGGTCGCCAAGCCAACGACTTCCATCAGCCCGCGAGTTCAAGTGAGCACCCCCTGTGTACCTTCGGGTGCTGCAGCTCCAGGTCGGTCGCATCCAAGTGGAACTCCGCAACACGGGTCTGGCTCACGACCGCGGACGCTGCTGGTCGATCAAGTAGCTTGACATAGAAAAAGAAACCCATCGTGGTAATCCCGGTAATACACCGCCTGACAAAGAACACTTTTCACACTCGAGATCCAACAAATACTGGGTATGCTTCAACGACGATGAACTCATAACACTGAGTTGTACATCCGATCTACACGTGTTTCATTCGATTGCGCCGACTGTGCGAGAACTTGGTAGACAGTGGCGCAAGCGCGTCGCGACCTCGAGCGCCGAGGGGCGGGTCGTCGGCTCCAGCTCCATGCACGACGCCACGATCGCGCGAACCGTCTCGGGCATGTCGTTCGCAACCTCCAAGTCGGCAAGAAGCTGTCCGAGCAAGTAGACATCCGAGTGCGTCGTCGACCGAAGTCGGCCGGCCAGGACCTCGGGCGCGGCATTTGGTGCGAGACGCGTCTTTGGCTCGTCGACGTACGTTGCGTACATGAAGGCGCCGAGGTGTGCGCGCCACTCGCTCGAGATAAAGACGTGGTCGACCGAGATGGCATTGTGCAGAATGGGGGTGTCGAGCGTATGCAAATGCGCCACTGCCGTCGCGACGTCGAGGGCCAGCTGCGCCTTCAGTGGCACGACTCCGTTCGACGTTGGGGTCGTCCAGCGAAGGGACTTGACAAGGTTCGCATCCCGCAAGACATCCGAGAGGGTCCCAAGCGCCATAAACTCGGTCACGACTGTCAAATCGAGGAGCGACGATGACGTGGCAAAGCCAAGCAGCGGCACGATATTCGGGTGCGAGAGCCGCGCGAGAAAAGCGATGTTGCGCACGAGGCCGCCGAGACGCATCGTCGTGTCTTGGACGGCGCACGGCGTGAGCATGGTCGCGTGGGCCTTGGCACCGTATCGCTCAGCCACATACATGGTGGTGTAAGCCGTCGACGACAATAGCTTGAGCTTCTTCATGTCCTTCATCGCCAACTGCAGTGGCATGAGCCGTGTGTCGTGGAACAAAATCGTCTCGAACGGCTTGGTGTCCATCTCGATCGAGAGCGAGATGCGGTACTGCATCGGGTCGTCCTCCACGATCGAGTAGGCCGAGCTCAGACACGTGTCCCGCAGATGGTCATTGGCGGCGGGCGGGCCCGGGGAGTCGAGCACACGTTTGGCACACACAAAATAGGCAAAGACACAGAGCCCAATGCAGCTAAAGACCATGATGAGCTGGCCGTACGCAGCTACAAATCGAAACATGAGATCAAAGTGGTGAAACCAAAAGACGATGTTGGCGTACTCATGAGCAGCGTTGTACGCGGCGTGTCTGTCTCGAGAACGCACACGACACTCGCGCGCAAGAGGTGCAGCGCGCCCGAGCATGCCGTGATGCTAAAGTTGCCCAGCGAGAGGAACGGCAGCGCGTTGAGCTGGCGAAACGTCGCCGCGGACAGGTCAAAGGTCGTCAATGCGTTGCCCGAGAGGTCCCTAGGCACATCGTATGCATGAGCACCCGATGTGAAAATGATAGAGCGTACAGAGATTGGAGGCCGAGTGGAAACGTCGGGTTGCGAAGCGATGTGATGCGATTGTGGGCCAGACTCCTAGAGGCAAGGATGAGCCGTCGATGGCAAGAGCGGATGCCTACAAGCTCGTGAGGCTCGGCAACGCAAGCGTCAAGTTGCCCACGTCAGCAATGGCGTTATAGCTCAAGTCCCTACGGGGCAACGACGACGGTAGCATTCGACGACTGCAACGCTGTAAAGACCGCACAGTGTCTGGAGGGCGGCGAATCGTGGCAGCGTGTCTGTTGTACGGAGCTCGTTGTGGCTCAGGTTCCTCCAGGTACAGTCCATGAGGCTCGACTGCGTCGTAGGAAGAGAGAGACACGTACAAAAGCCGCAAGGCAGGCACGGGGTCGGACGCGAGCTGGGCGATCGCATTCTTCGAGAGGTCCCTAGATGACCGAGCACGGGTGATTTACTGTTATGATGTGGCTGCCGTACAGGACTGTAGCCGTCGGTGGGAAGCTAGCGACGTCGCTGATGCTTGCGTTTTGCAGGTTGACGACCCCGTTCACCGCTTCGACTCGGGTTGTCGTGGCATTGCCGCCCTTGGAAACGAGACACGACCCTGTGTTGGAGCTATTGGAGCTGCTCTGGTGGCCTTTACAAGCCCCGTAGAGCGTGTTGGAGGCAACTGCCATCGTGTGTGGATATTGGATTGTGTTCGATTTCGCTGCCGCCACGATGACGATGGGACGCCATCAAGCCACGAGACAGACGTTTGAGCCAATCAAACGACGTGGGCAAGTGCAAACTCGGCTTGGAACATGCGACATGCGACCGATTACCTTTGTTCGACCATGAATCATCAAGCGCACGCAGCTAATAACTATGCAAATATTTTGCTGCCGAGTTCATCACTGCTCTTGTCGTTGCCCTCACCCAATAATCTACTGGCCTTGCCACCGCCGACGACAGTTTTTTGCTGATAGTACGACGCAGGGCCGGATGAGAGCTCTCGACGTGCACTCGCCGGCAACACATATCTTCACTCCATCCAGAGATGCGCAAGACTCGAGTTCACTTGTAGCCGTCTCCAACGACCAGACAGCGCTCGCAACTGCTTCGCTCACTGGCGACAACGCGTCACGTTGCCGATCGTGGTCGACCACACTTGCCACCATCTCGCTGCCACGACAGCGCGCCACGTCATCCAAGCTGCTCTCCTCCCTCTTCAAGGTCTTCAAGGTGGTCGATACCAGATTCGACTTGGGATATAGTAAACAGAGTATGACCAACCGGCGCACGCCCAGTGCGAGCAACCTTATATAGAGAAAGTTATGTGGTACTACGTAGTAATTTCCGCACTTTCCTGCGCGCGAGTTTGGATCGATCGGATTGACTATAAATCGACCAATGGAATCGATGTTGGCGGCAATGCGCAGCCTGATTGGCTACATTTGGTCTACCTTGCACTTCTGCAAGTGGACAATTCCGTCTCCGTTTGCTTTTGCGGATAATTCTCGTCAAAACGAGTGGACCTTCTGCTCCACTGGTGCTAGTACGTCGGTGACGACCACTGGTGCGCAGGCTCAAGAGCGGCAACATGTCAATCGTTGGTCGCCGAACGACACTATTGTGCATCGATGGCCCCTAGTACGCATTGTCGAAGCCACAGACAATATTACCATCGTCGTGTTGGCGCATGCCGGACGAGCGTCGGACGTCGCGAGTGGACAGTACAGGAGGCGATGCGTCGTTGTTTTGAAATATAAAAAAGAGAGACGCCGCTCCTAGCCAGCATCATCGACAGCAGCAGAGCAGTCTACTCGAACGCCTGGGCTTCGAACGCCTCGACGCTCATGTAGCTCACATCGACCACGTTGCCGCCAAACTTGCGTCCTGTCAATGCCTATGCGCCGCATGAGACCGTCTGCAAAACAAGAGGTTGGTCGACCTTGGTGGCAGCGATCGCAGCATCGACCGTCTCGAAGCGGACAAAGGCCTTGCCGACGCCGGGCAACCCGTCCTAAGACATCCTGCTATGAGCCAGAGGGTTGTAAAAGTATCGACGTGTACGCTCGGGCGAGGGATCACAAGCGTCGTGACCTTGCCAAACTTGCTGCACTCTTCTTCAATGTCTTCCTTCAAGTCGCTGTACTCGCCGTCATCGACCAAATCGGCTTCTTGCACCATGTTGCCCTAGATAGCATATCCTCGATACCGTATCAATGTATCAAGAAGAGAGCGTACGAGCGTGATCACCGGCGTCGGCGTCGGCGCCGCAATCGCGTTCGGGTTGTACTCGGGAATCGTGCCCTGGCGCGGCGCACGCTGCACGACGAGCGCGTTGCCGGCAATGTCGAGGCCGTTGAGACCGTCGACGACGCTCTGCGTCACCGATTCGTCTTTGTACTCGAAGAGCGCGCTGCCCGTCGAGTTGCCCGCGCTGTCCTTGACGAGAAGGAAGCGAGCGAGCTCGCCAAACGGCTCGAGGAGCTGCGAGACCTATGCATGCGTGAGCCTTCTATTGCGACAACACGAGAGATCACAAGAAGTACCTGTTCTTCGTTGAGGGCCGTCGGGAGGTTGGCCATGAGGAGGCGGTTGGACGAGTTGTCCGGCGGGAGCTGGCCAATGTCCGTAAAGCCCGAGTTGGGCGCCAGAAGACCGGCGTCCTGGAGACCGCACGCGGCCGAGCCGCCTGCAAACCACATCGGGTTAGGCGTGCACCCGAGGTTCACGAGCGCGGTCTGCGTGCGCGACGAGATGTTGGGCATCGGCTGCGCGGGCCCGACAAAGCTGCGCGGGCGGCCAAACTTGAGCTGTCGCCCGAGCATGTTGAGCTGGTTCAGAAGCAGCGCGAGGTTGCACTCTTCCACCGTGCGCATTTCGAGGAACGCAAACTGGTTGTCGGTCGAGATCCACGCCGAGAGGATCGGGTTGCCCGGCTGGCCCGGCAGGGAGAGGCCGACCTGCTGGATGATCGTACCGAGAAACTCTTGCAGCTGCGAGCCTGTCACGTTCTGCGGGAGGTTGCCAACGTACAGCTCGCGCATCGGCTTGAGCGAGACGGCCGACGAGAGCGTGCTCGTGGTATGGGACATTTTGAGCACCACCTCTTGCAGACTCAGCGACGGGTACTGCTGCATCATCTGTGTGATCGACGACGTTGGCTGCTGCGCCGGCGCCGCCGGGGCTGCATCCATGGGCGGGAAATCGGGCACCTCGGCCGCGGGCGGGCCGGGCGCGAACATCGGCGCCTTCACCTCGGGCTTGCGGTCGTTCGAGCCCGACTTGTCACGGGACCGGCGGCGCGGGCTACGGCTGCGGCTGCGGCGCGAGCGGCGCGGCGACCGGCTGCGCGACCGACGGCTGCCGCGGCGAGTAGCTCCGCGACCGGCGGCGGCGATCCCTGTCGCGGTCATCGTCTCTGTCACGCCGACTGCTCTTGCGGTCCTTGTCCTTGCGGCTGCTTTTGCGCTCGCGGCTCTCCTTGCGCTCGCTGCCACGCGCGTCCTCTTCGGCCATCCTGTCTCCACACGATTCTGGCGTTCGATAAATCGACAACCCAGATAAGTTCGATTCCGCACTTGTTGAAATTTTGTTGCGATCTTCCGACAGTCCGCTCCGCCAGCTCGCAGAAGCCCCTGCTGTCGCCTTCATGGCCTCGCTCTCGCCCATGCCCGCGGCCATCGCCGCCTGCAGCTACCTCCATGCAACGTATCCACGCACAGCAAATGCATTGCAACACGCATTCTACATGGTTATATCGCGGCGGCATCGCAGCTTGTCGTAGGCCCATGGCAGGTCGGCCGTGAGCTCGACGACGCACGCCCACAGCGTATGGACAAAGTACGTGCGAGCTAGAGCCGGGTCTTCGTCAAACACATAGCAGTAGCTCGGCTCGTCTCGTGGGTCGTCCTGTCGCGTCATTGATGATGCATCGATCTCTCCATCCCTTGCAGTGGTGTGTACCGCGACAAAGAGGCTGTGACAGCCACGTTGAATGTACTCAAAGACGCGCTCCACGCTGAGCACGTGGACTTCGTCGGCCTCGTGCGCTTCCTCTTCCATGTCGACGACCGCGCGGAAGTACGCGACCATCTCTTGCACGTGCGTGTGGTCGGGCGACGTCTGGAAGGCGAGGTCGGCATGCCCGGCCAGCGACGTAAAGAGGCTCGACGCATGCAAGAGCGAGTACATCTACATCACCTTGCAACATGCATCCGATACCAGACAGAGCAACATACGAGCTGTGGATTCCGAGGCAAGAGCCGGCCCGACAAGACGACGTTGATCAAGCCAAGACCGAGGTGCAGACATTCCATGTACATGGCTTGCTTCTCAAGCAGCTAGCCCACGAATCGATACGCCTACGTCGCATACAACGATGCCACGTACCTTGGTTTGGTGCATTGTCGCGTCGTCGGCCTCATGTGGCGAGGCATCGAGGGCGTCGAGGTCGGCTTGCACCCGCGCTTCCTTCTTCGCCCAGTGCTCGACCGCGTGGACGAGGCTCTGGCTTGCGTACGGGTGCAGCTGGTGCGCATATTGCAGCACGTTGAAGAGCGTGCCAAAGGCCAAGCGATGCAGTCGCGGGTCCCGGAACGTCGCGACGTTCTTGTGCACAAGACGCATGAGCACGACGATTGCAGCCGACGCAAACGAAATGTCCACCATGTACTTTTCCGAGTACCACTCGACGTGGTCATGGAGCTACACTCTTCCAGTTAAGAAAGCACGAGGGAGATGACGTACCATGGACAGATGGAGGGCCTCGACGACGGCGGGTTGCTCTGAGAGCCGCAAGAGCACGGTCAAGTACACATAAAGTGAGGTCGGCGCGGTGCAGTCGTACATGGCTTTGAGCAACGGCAGGCCCTAGAATGCAAGTCCTACGTGCAGCCATTGACGTCGCTGGAAGAACGTACGAAGAGCTCCATGTCGAGCGGCTGCGCGATTCCCGAGGCAAAGCTCGGATGGATGGTGACGAGTGCATACAGTAGCGACGTTCCAATCTCGGTCGAGAGCGACCTGTACAAAGGATTGGCGGTGAGATCGCCGACGATATGTCGAGCAAGCCATGTACCGGCCGAGGAGGTTGATCAGCTGCGAGTACGACACGGCGTGCACGGCGCTGACATTGCCGTCGCGATCTTCGAGCTCACAAAACGCAGTCCGGAACGGATTCATGTCGCTAGGATCCACCCCGCGTCAAGTACGAGCGATGGAGGAGGAGACCGCGATACCTCGGCGCCGTGTGCAAGAGGAGCAGGAGCAGGAGCACGCCTCGGTCGGCCAGCGGATACACGGGCGTCTCGGTCGCGACAAAGTACTCGAGGACACTCCAGGATGCTACTACATTCAGCACTGTCAACGTCTCATTCGTACACAAGAGAGAGAGCTCGTGTGTTCTACCGTGGGCCGACGACTGCGCGGCGACAGCTGCGAGAGACGCTGCGGTCTCGAGGTTGGGCGGCGGCAGCTCGTCTAAAAACGAGTACAAGACGCGCTTGACGAGACCTTTGGCGACGCTGTCAAGCGACGCGTGGTGCACATAGAGCTCGAGGAGCGACGCCGTGGCGCTGTACGCGTGCGACGACAGCAGCGTCAGCAGCGTGTTGACGCACTCCAGGTGCAGGTCGTACGTCTCGTCGCTACAGCATGAGCATGAGATCGATCGTACGCACGACAAGGACCGACGTCGGCGGCGCCTCGAGCACGACCATACACAATGCATCCAAGAGCTCCATGGCCACGTCGCTCGCTGCTACGGTAGAGACGCGGTGATGGACGCCATGATGATGAGAGGCGACGTACGCGCCGTGCTGGCTTGGCGCAATAGCGCGCTCTGCCCGAGGTCTTTGGCCGTGCCCTGGGCAGCAAAGAGCTCGAGAACGTTGTCGTGTTCGACAAAGTGCATGCAAAAGTGGCGCAGGAAGACGAGGACGTTCGTCATGTTGGCCAGCGACGCGCCGAGAACATGGCGCGGCCGGGCGGCGGCCGGCTTGGCAACGTGCGGCAAGCTCCGCGTGACATGGCGCACGAGCATGCGAAAGTTGCCAGAGACAATTGTATTGGCCGCTAGACAGAGGTTCATGGAAGACGACGTGATGCATGGCCTACCGAGCGCATGCGTGTAGGGCCGTAGGAAGGCCGCGAGCGTCGCCTTGGGCAGCGTAAGCAGCGCTTGGTCCATCGCGAAGAAGCGCGTCCAGACGTCGTCGCTCATCATGTACGGCTGCGCGCTTACGATCTTCTCCAAGGCCGACGTCGTGGCTGCGTCCAGGAGCGAGGTCGCTGCGCCATCGCCGCCACTTGCACTGTTCCCCATGAAGATGTGCCAAGCATGCAATCCACCTCTCACAGTCGATACAGTATAAAGGTATTGCTTAAGTTCGACATCCGTGAAATTGAACTCGTTGTTTATATGTGGTGAAAGCGTACTTTATGGAGTGTACATACCTGCACTTGAGAGGATTCCTGGGCCCACAGCGTGCCACGTGGAGTCAACGCCTCAGAAAGCACCTGTCGACCATGCCTGTCGACTATGGCCGACACAACATTCCCCACCGGCTCTGCGCGCAACCCAAAGCATGCGAGTTCTTGGAGGTGGCCAAGGCGGCGGCCGTGTACTATTGCGCGCCTGACGCTAGTCTTCAGTGCTTGAGCGACGCGATGACCCGGTGCGCTTCCGAGACGTGTATTCGGTCAGTGCTTGTCTCGCAACGTCTCCTCGCCATTGCCTCGTACCAAGACGGTCTCGCCGGCAGCACGGTCGACTTGCATGAGGTCTGCGCGAGTCTGGATCACAGCTTCTTGCGTCGAGCGAAAGGACTTTATGTGAAACTAGTCACCCTTGCATGCTCGTGGTTGTACCTTGTCCCGAAGCGTCGCCGGCGGCACGACGACGGTCGCGATGGCTCTCAGGCTTGGCTCTGGCGCCGATGTCTTTTGGCGCTGTCGGCGTCGTCGCAGCGCATCGATCTCCTCTTGGAGCTTCATCTGCCGCTGCAGCTGCATCTCGTGCAGGACCTTGGCCTCCTTGGTCGTACGCTCGATGGTCAATCTGGCAAGATTACCTAGTACAACCCTGCTCACTTGAGCATGTGGCAGAAGCTACGGCTAAGCACCTGCTCGTCCGGCAGAGCGAGGCGTTGCTGCACTTGCACTGCTCCCAGAGGCCATTGCCTCCTTTCAAGCCCCAAGAATGCTCATAGAAAGACGACGATATCCCGCCAAGATCCCCGCAACGACGCGCGTCATCAAGTACTCGACAAAAGACCACGACCACAGTTTGCAGCGCGGCGACTTTGACCGCGCTTGGAGGTCGCCTCGTCGTTCACTATCTAGCCCATGTATGGATGCGGTTGTAGATTGTCAACGTTGCCTCGGCCGACAAAGAGTATGCTGCCACGTTGCAGCAGCTCAACTCGCCCCGCGCCACGACGGACGTGCCGACCGAGGACTTGTACGCGCGCGTCGAAGCGGCGCCTCTAGAGTTTTCGATGTATAAAGAGGCCGGTGTGTATATTGATGTCCCTGAGCGCTTGCCGCGAGAGAAGCAAGCCGTTGCTACGATAGCATCGAAGCACGCTCCTGCTGTGATGAGCACCATCACGCATTACCGTGCACTTCCACACCTACGCATCGACAGGTATCATTTTACCCGGCGTACGCACACAGGTGTTTATGACTCGAGGCAGTAAAAAAGATACCCCACGGTGCCCCTTACCTTGACCTACCCGCATACACGGAATTGTAGGCCATCGACGCAGATTGCCTAACGCATCACATTCGCTTATCCCAGTCAGAACATCGTCCAATCAGAAATGAGAATGCGACACGCCGGGGATCGAACCCTGGCCCACTTGAGCTTTCACCCAGAGTCTAAACCACTAGACCAATAGACCTTGACTGAAATTACGCTTTCGACATGGCTACTGTTGATTTTATTTTACGGCGGTCGTACAAAGGCGCCTCGACCCTTTACACGCGCTGTACACTGGCTTGGCCGGGAAACCCTACCCCTCGTACCATCCGACGACAACTCCTGGCCTCCTCGCTACATCCAGGCAGCAACGACGAGCACACAAAAGTGATATGTCATGTGTTTCTCTCGAGGACACACAGGATGCCAGATTGCACAGCCGGATACACGTCGACATATCCGGCATTCATGGCACTTGCCACCTCTATCCTGCCGAATTCAAAAGGTTGGTGCTGAAGATAAGAACATTTGCATGTCAAGCAAGCTTTCCAGCCAGCGCGAGTGCAACCCGAGGAGACTTTGGCGGATGGCGGCCGTGAGCGACAATCTGACCACGCTCGGTCGTTGTGTGACCAACCGGGTGCGGCCACGTCGCGTTTGGATGCCGCGATCCAGCGCGCCTTTGTGACGGGGAGCCACAACACTGCTGCGTTCCTTGCAAACGACCGCCGCGTGATATTGCCCAAGGTTCAAGTGGACGCGCGCGCACTGAAGCGCAAGGTGTCCCAAATGGCGTGATGGCTGGTGGAAATGTTGAATTATACGGCTCTATATGAATTGATTGTATTAATACCAAGTACACGTCTCTTCGTTTCATCCCGTAACTTGACCATCGCAGCCCCACTGTCGCAGCCCCATCGTAGGGTTGTTGGGTTCCCAGTGGGGACCCAACTTTATTTACAGCACGGCGGGAAGTGACCACCTCGACGTGATGCAATTCTTCCACGAACACAACTGCGACGGCTTTGATGACGATACGATCTGTGGGGCCGTGCACAGCGGCAACTTGGCGCTCGTACAGTTTCTCTTGGCGCACCGCCAGAACGCAAACACGCTGCGCCGGGCCATGATGATTGCGGCCGAGACGGACAGCGTCAAGATGCTCCAATGGCTCGTCGACCAGCTCGGTGCCGCGGCGCACTTGGATTGGACCGCAGGACACGCGTACATTTCTCGGGGCCATCGATGTGCCGCGTTCCTTGCAAGCATGTCGGCGCACGCGATCGGTCTCTACGACCGCGCCCGCAAGCGCAAGTCGTCCAAGATGGTTTGCAACGATATGTAGTCCTATCAGAACGCAACTGGATCGCAATTGATCCCAATCGAATCAAATGGAACACACAAGGCGTATCTTGCCATCGTCATCAGCGATTTCATTGGACAAACGAAACGCAATGCGGACATGTGATTGGCTACTCGAGTGAAAACCACACGTCATTGGCTGGTTTTCCATATGCAATTCAACAGGAAACGCCTGGTCAACTTTAAAACAAAGTGAAACTGAACTGTACTGAAGAATTTGATCCCGTAAAAGTACGGTCTTTGGAAACGCCTGGTGTGTCCTGGTCCATGACACCTTGGACGCACAACGGGCAGCATGAACAACCTCGCAAACAATGTCTCTTGGTCACTGCATCTACAAAGCCCGCAGCTCACTGCGGCACCATTCGGCTTGGCGGACCAAATGACAATGGACCGGTCGCGCGTTCTTCAAGTGGAAGTGAACCCACCGGCTGCGGATGCAATTACGACACCAGCGTCCTTACGTTCCTCCCAAGGTTGGATATAAAGCCGCGTCGACGTTGCATGTCAACATCAAAGAAAAGGATCCGTGAGTGCACCGCCCCATTTTTATGCGGCACCCACCCGACCTCATGGGAGCACTGTGGTATGCAATCAAAAGCAATCGAGCAGGTCGTGCATTTCATGTACAAATTATGTACAAAGAAACTTCATGACCTCCCTGTTTGTGATCGTTTTGTTAGCCCAGCCGCGCAGATTCAAAGATACACATGGTTCTTCATGTGTAATAGGTCTTGGGTCCACGATGCGTTGTCTATTTCGTGGTCGCATCGTCACCATCTGGTCCGACGAGATGCCGTCTTGTCCGTCGCATTTGGCAAAACACTTTCCGCAAAAGTGCAGATCCGTCGGGCGAAATGGCCTGCCCCTATAGCGCGTACGTCTCGACGGCGACGCGCGAGTGCCAAGACGGCGTCTACTGCATCGTCGACAGCGCGTGCAAGGTACGAGCAGTACCCTCTCTCTTTCTATCTCTGGACACGGGTGATCTAGACGCTCAAGACGTTTACGACCAAAGATTTTACCGTTGGCAAGACGAAAGAAGCGAGACTGATTGTCACAGGTCTTCTTGAAAAGACGTGCCAAGGTCTCTCGGTACGACGAACGATGCATAGACCTCGTGTCGCACGTGGCCGATTTACCCAACGCATTCAAGGATCTCCAAATGTACACTGCACCAAATATTGCATGGTATCAACGACCTACGCACCCTGTTAGATGTTTTGACAGCGCCTACATTCGATCGCTGGGCGACCTCTCGACGACTTCGAACGTCAAAGGCTTGTAGGACGTGTCTCAACCAAAAATGTCGACGAATGTTTTTGAGTAGGGTGATTCGCGACAATGAGACGCCGCTCGACCTCTCGCGTGTGGTGTGGCCAACTACACTTGAGCAGCTGTACACCTCCAACTCGACCAATGGAGCGATATGTGCTCAATTTGGTGGTAGGAGTATTCAACACACGCGAATTCCAGCGTTTCCACCAACCCCCCTCCCGAGAGACCTCCACTGGCTGTACGCTTTCGATAGTACGAATCTCGATCTTTCTCACAAAGTCATTATTTAGCACGCTTGAAAACACCAGCCTCACGACATTGCAAAACCTCGACTTGAGTAGCCTTTGGTTTGTGTACGTCCCACAACAACGTCTCTGGAACATTATACTAAACACACTCTGTATAGGGATTTCAGGCTCAACCCACTCACGACGCTGTACAATGTGACCTTTGGCGAGGCTCTGCGACAAGTGTACTACGCTACATGTGTGCCTTTTTCGTCCAACAACTTACTGTGTGTATATATAATAGCGATTTTGGTACCCCCAATTATACGACCTTTACGGTCGACCCCGGCACGTACGACGTGCTCCGCAACGAGAGTCATTACGCATACTTTGCGGGTACTCTCGACGTCGCGGCCACGTGCAAACCGCCGAATCTCGTCATGCCGCTCGTTCGAAAAGGCCCCGAAAGCAACCCGAACTTTAGCCCTAGTCGCTTTGTCTGCGTTGCCCCAGGTCCGCTCCGACACCTTCTCCGTGTGTCTGACAACGGCAAACTAGGCAAGATCCTGCCGCCACCAACGCCGTCCAGCGTGCCAACAACCAGTGCGGCTATTCCGACCTCCATCCTTCCTCCAGCGACGGACGATACCGCGACTGCAGCGACCGGCCTCAGTGGCGCCGCGATCGCAGGCCTTGCCGTCGGTGCCGTCGTCCTCATCTTTGGCATGGGGTTGTACTTCTTCTGCCGCCGACGTCGCAACAAGTACGATCGTCTTCCTGAAATCCATTGTCGTTGTTCAGATTTTTGCATTGTCAATCGTAGCAAC